TTCATTTTAAATACCTTAAAGGAACATTTTAATAGTTTCAAATGAACATTTATGAGCGGGACATGGAAGATATTTTCAGAGAGGGAAAGTCAGCCTGACATCTGTATGTGCGTGTAAGTGTGTGTGTGTTTAAGGGACACCATACCCCTGAAAGATTTGATAAAGTCTGCAACTTGAAGTTTTCTTAGTTCTTTTCAGGTCTTGTAATTGAAATGTGGATGTTCTGCAGTCCTCACAAACTTTGTCATAATACAAATTTGGGAGCTGAATGTCTTTGTAGGTCAGGAGTGAATCCATTGGACTTTTTATAGACAGTTTAATTAGTGTTCAAGCTGTGTGGACTGACAGTATTACACCTTTCAGTTTACCGTTCTGCTATAACTTGAAATCTGTGGCTTGAAACAGAATGTATTCTTGGTTTGGTCCCCTTCATATCTTCTCTGTGTTTTGTTTTCAGCTGTGTCCATCATTTTAACTGGATCTGGATCGACTCGATGTTCTGGAAGAGTTGAAGTTTATCACAATAACATCTGGGGAACAGTCTGTGATGATGGCTGGGGTTTAAATGATGCTCAGGTGGTTTGCAGACAGTTAAACTGTGGGGCGGCACTGGAAGTTCCTCAATCAGCTCACTTTGGTGCAGGAACTGGACAGATCTGGCTTGATCATGTGACCTGTTCAGGAAGTGAAAGTTCTCTAACTGAGTGTCAACACAGTGGATTTGGATCAAACAGATGTGAACATGGTCAGGATGCTGCTGTCATCTGTTCAGGTGTGAAAACTGCTGGATAAAGGTAATATTGCAAGATAGTATTTTTTGATGTAAGGGTGTATTAAAATGTTTTTCATGTTCTTTGCCTTTTAGATCTGATTAGATTAGCTGGTTCTGGATCTAGCCGGTGTTCTGGTAGAGTTGAAATCTTTCACAGTAACGTCTGGGGAACAGTCTCTGATTATAACTGGGACTTAAATGATGCTGAGGTGGTTTGCAGACAGTTAAACTGTGGGACTGCACTAGAAGCTACTCCATCATCTAAATTTGGTGCAGGAACTGGACAGGTCTGGCTCAGTGGTGTAAGCTGTTCAGGAAATGAAAGTTCTGTAACTGAATGTCAACACTCTGGATGGGGAAATTACTACAACAACTACTACAGTTTACATTCTTATGATGTTGGTGTCATTTGTTCAGGTGATAACACTTTTTGATATGAAAAAACTGCATGTTAATGTATTTTTGAGTGTTATGCATCTGTATTTTCTTTAAGATATGTATTGGAATATAGTTTGTGTTATGTCTTTTACATAAAAGGTGTGATCAGATTAAATGGATCTGGATCGACTCGATGTTCTGGCAGAGTTGAAGTTTATCACAATAACAGCTGGGGAACGGTCTGTGATGGTGGCTGGGACTTAAATGATGCTGAGGTGGTTTGCAGACAGCTAGACTGTGGGTCGGCACTGGAAGTTCCTCAATCAGCTCACTTTGGTGCAGGAACTGGACAGATTTGGCTCGGTGATGTGACCTGTTCAGGAAGTGAAAGTTCTCTAACTGAGTGTCAGCACAGTGGATTTGGATCAAACAGATGTGAACATGGTCAGGATGCTGCTGTCATCTGTTCAGGTGTGAAA